TCACCACCACGCCACAGTCATCACCACCACGGCCACAGTCATCACCACCACGGCCACAGTCATCACCACAGGCACCACGGCCACCCCACGAAAACAGCCACAGTCATCACCACCACGGCCACAGGCATCACCACCACGGCCACAGTCATCACCACAGGCACCACGGCCACCCCACGAAAACAGCCACAGTCATCACCACCACGGCCACAGTCATCACCACCACGGCCACAGGCATCACCACCACGGCCACAGGCATCACCACAGGCACCACGGCCACCCCACGAAAACAGCCACAGTCATCACCACCACGGCCACAGTCATCACCACCACGGCCACAGTCATCACCACCACGGCCACAGTCATCACCACCACGGCCACAGGCATCACCACAGGCACCACGGCCACCCCACGAAAACAGCCACAGTCACGAATACAAAACCACAACTTCGGCTCACCGGCTCAGACACTCCGGGGGAGGGAGGAGGCGAAACTCCGCGAGGTTTGGGCAAACCCCCCCCCCCACACCACCCCGCTAATTACCTTAATTAGTCTGTCGTAATTGCAGCTGCAGAGCGAGTTGATGGAGATGGTGAAAGGCGCCCACACAGGGTTCAGGTTGTTCTTGATCACCTGGGCACACGGCAAGGGGTGGGGGAGGGGGGCCCAGGGGACGTCACCCCCCGCAGGTGCAGCCTCGCCATGACCTCGCGGTGTCGTCACAGCGAGTCGCGGTGACGTCACCGCGAGTCACGGTGCCGTCACAGCGGTGTCGTCACAGCGGTGTCGTCACAGCGGTGTCGTCACAGCGGCGTCGTCACAGCGGTGTCGTCACAGCGGCGTCGTCGTCACAGGGGCGCCGTCACAGCGGCGTCTTCATAGCGGCGTCGTCACAGCGGCGACGTCACAGCGGCGCCGTCACAGCGGCGCCGTCACAGCGGTGCCGTCACAGCGGTGCCGTCACAGCGGTGCCGTCACAGCGGTGTCGTCACAGCGGTGACGTCACAGCGGTGCCGTCACAGCGGCGCCGTCACAGCGGCGACGTCACAGCGGTGCCGTCACAGCGGCGCCGTCACAGCGGTGTCGTCACAGCGGCGTCGTCGTCACAGGGGCGCCGTCACAGCGGCGTCTTCACAGCGGCGTCGTCACAGCGGCGACGTCCCAGCGGCGCCGTCACAGCGGCGCCGTCACAGCGGCGCCGTCACAGCGGCGACGTCACAGCGGCGCCGTCACAGCGGCGCCGTCACAGCGGCGCCGTCACAGCGGCGCCGTCACAGCGGCGACGTCACAGCGGCGACGTCACAGCGGCGCCGTCACAGCGGCGCCGTCACAGCGGCGCCGTCACAGCGGCGCCGTCACAGCGGCGCCGTCACGGCGGTGTCGTCAAGGCGGTGCCGTCACAACGGTGTCGTCACAGCGAGTCGCGGTGACGTCACAGCTGTGACGACACCGCTGTGACGGCGCCGCTGTGACGGCGCCGTCACAGCGGTGTCGTCACAGCGGTGACGTCACAGCGGCGACATCACAGCGGTGGCATCACAGCGGCGCCGTCACAGCGGTGCCGTCACAGCGGTGCCGTCACAGCGTTGACGTCACAGCGGTGTCGTCACAGCGGTGTCGCCGTGAGTGAGCAGGTGGCCTGCAAGCCCGGGCTGCGTCTGCCAGTCGGGGGCCGGTGACTGTTCGGTGTCATGGCGATGTCACCGCGGCGGGAGACATCCGCCTTGAGGCCGCCACAGTATGGCCGACTCGCGTCTTTGTGACATCAGACTATCGTCGGTCGCCTCGAGGGAGGCGTGGGGTTGGCCGCGTCAGCCCCCCCCCCTCCGACCTTGCCCGCGTGACTATTCCTGCTCAGAGACAGCCCCCCGCGCCCCCCGCCTCCTCCCCTCCCCCAGGAGGGAGGATTTCCGGAGCCCCTCCCCACCACCCCGACTTGCTCTACCCCCCCGCCCCCCCCCGCCCCCACCGCCCCCCCCCGCCCCCACCGCCACGCCAGAAGCCCGAGTCACGTGGGACTCTTCCCAGCCCGGGGTCGTCGTGCATCGGATGGAGGGAAGTGGACGGTGAATCCGCAGCGCTGACGAGCTCACTGATGACGAGCTCACCGATGATCTCACCGATGATCTCACCGATGAGCTCACCGATGAGCTCACCGATGAGCTCACCGACGATCTCACCGATGATCTCACCGATGAGCTCACCGACGATCTCACCGATGATCTCACCGATGAGCTCACCGACGAGCTCACCGATGAGCTCACCGATGAGCTCACCGACGAGCTCACCGACGATCTCACCAACGATCTCACCGATGAGCTCACCGACGAGCTCACCGACGAGCTCACCGATGAGCTCACCGACGAGCTCACCGACGATCTCACCGACGAGCTCACCGATGAGCTCACCGACGAGCTCACCGACGATCTCACCGATGAGCTCACCGATGAGCTCACCGACGAGCTCACTGCGCTCCAGGGGAGCTGCGTGTCCTCGGCATGCGTCTGGGAGCGATGGAATCAGGTCGTGTGTAGGTAGAGTTTGTGTGTCTCTCTCTCTGCGTGGTCGTGTGTAGGTAGAGTTTGCGTGTCTCTCTCTCTGCGTGGTCGTGTGTAGGTAGAGTTTGCGTGTCTCTCTCTGCGTGGTCGTGTGTAGGTAGAGTTTGCGTGTCTCTCTCTGCGTGGTCGTGTGTAGGTAGAGTTTGCGTGTCTCTCTCTGCGTGGTCGTGTGTAGGTAGAGTTTGCGTGTCTCTCTCTCTCTCTCTCCGTGATTGTGTGGATTTTTCTCCAGCTCCTCCGGGTTTTCCCTCCACATTTAGAAACACGCGGTTAGAGCATTTGGCAACTTCGTTGAGCGATAATTAGTGATAGCCAGGTCGCTTCTGAAAAAAACTTCTATATAGCTCAGTGGCCTTACCTGGGGAAATGAAACAAAGTTAACTTTAGTTTTAGGTGCTCGGTGGGTTGCTACGATGGAGGATCATGAGAGCGATGGCGGGAGGGGGATGAATGATTTCACGCAGCAGTGGATTGCCCATGGCCGATGGTGATGTCGATGGTGTGACATCTGTGGCACACTCCGTCTGTAACGCGTCTTGGTACGCAGTCGTAATCACAGCCGAGAATCACGTGCCCATCATTGTCATCGCTGCCACGGGGTGTCGAGGGAGGGCTCGTGCCAAGAACATCCCCGTGACCCGGCAGCGTCTGTCCACCGAGCCCGACTCTGCTGATGATGCCCAGGGAGCGGGAGGCGACGCGAGTTCCGTGAGCGCTTCCCAACAACATCTCGGTCTGCGGAGCAGCCGGCCGGCCGATGTGGACTCGCAACGGCCTACCGACACGCACGCGGCTTTCGCGAGCAATGTGATGACGTTATGACGTTTATTAATCGGCCGTGTCGGGTGGGGGAGGGTTTACGACACATTTTATTTATGCGATCTGACACCCCCCCCCCCCCTCAATAAAATCAGGAGTGAATCATACAACTCTTGTGATATTCACTCGCACGAAGAGAGTACAGGCAGATCTCTGGAGAGGTGAGGAGCGCTAATCAAGTCAGCGCTAACAGGGGTCATTATACCATTATGTGTATGGGGATGCGTTCCCGACAGCGTCATTCCTTTCGTATGAGCAGTATAGGAGGGCTTCGCTGGGGTATCGCTAATCGCGCTAATAACAACAACAACAATGCTACTGCAGGTTGGTGAACATTCTTTGCTTTGAACAAATGCGGACCGAGGCTGTGGACAACGTGGCGAGAAACAGCAGCGCGAGGAGCCCCCCCCCCGCCCCCCGCACCTCGCTCCTGTGCACCAGCTGGAAGGTGTCGTCGTCGTCCAGCTTGTGGATCTCCAGGAAGGGGTCCGACTTGCTGAAGAGGTCCTGGTGGGGGCGGGGGGCGGGGTGGGTGTAAGTTGGGGATCGCGGGTCGAGGGGTACAGACCCCCTGGCCCGGACCCCGCTTGAACCGTGGCGGAAGGTGACAGGGATCGTTCGGGTGACCGGTGGTGGTCTGTTCGTGACGTCACGTCCAGGGGACCCCTCACGAGTGGCGACATCCCAATACGAAACCCGTATCCCGACCCCAACAATCATCCTCCCAGCCCTACCCCTCTCCCGTTCTCCCTCCCACTCCATTATTTACCCTCTCCCCTCCATACCCTCCCCTCTCTTTTCACCCCTTTTATCCCCTCCCCCCTCTATCTCCCCCCCCCTGTACCCCCTCTCTCCCATTCCTACTCCCCCCTCTACCCCCTCCCCCCTGTACCCCTTCTCTCCCATTCCTACTCCCCCCTCCCCCCTGTACCCCCTCTCTCCCAATCCTACTCCCCCCTCTACCCCCTCCCCCCTGTACCCCCTCTCTCCCATTCCTACTCCCCCCTCCCCCCTGTACCCCCTCTCTCCCATTCCTACTCCCCCCTCTACCCCTCCCCCCTGTACCCCCTCTCTCCCATTCCTACTCCCCCTCCCCCCTGTACCCCCTCTCTCCCATTCCTACTCCCCCCTCTACCCCCTTCCCCCTCTCTCCCATTCCTACTCCCCCCTCTACCCCCTTCCCCCTCTCTCCCATTCATACTCCCCCCTCTATCCCCTCCCCCCTGTACCCCCTCTCTCCCATTCCTACTCCCCCCTCTACCCCCCTGTACCCCCTCTGCCCTCCCTCGCCCCGCGGGCCTCACACACAATCCCCTCTCTCGCACGCACGCCAACTACATTATCTCTAAATCTCTAACACATTTGCTGACATTTCTGAAAATTGCTTTTATTCCTCCGCGATAATGAAGGCCGCTCCCTCCCTCTCCCCCCGCCCATGATGCTCCGTGTGGCTGCTTATTTATTTATTTATAATCAAATTCGGCTCCAGCCGCCGGCAGAGCGGCACCTGCGGGCTCCGTGGAGGCTCCGCACTCCACTCCAGGCGGTGCGATTTCCGGTCGTGATATTGCGCGCAGGTGGAGGCACTGATAACTTAGTTGTAACGCAACCGCAACGAATGATGATGCCGATGATAAGTGGCGATGATGATGCCGATGGTGGTGGTGATGATGATCGCGATGATGATGGTAGTCATGATGTCAACGATGATGATTAAATGTGTGATAATGGTGATGTAGGTGGTGATGATATAAATGATGACAATGATGATGGTAGTGATGATGTAAATTATGATGATTAGGTTTGTGATGATGACGATGATGGTGATGATAATGGTAGTGATGTGAATGATACTAATGATGATGATATTGATGATGTCAATGATGTTGACGCTGTCGATGCTGATGCCTCAGCTGCCCACGGCTGTCTGGAAGCTACCAGGCCTGTCGCTTCACACGAAGCTCCGGTTCTTATCGGCCACAATGATGTCCGCCTTCTCTATGCTTGCGAAACGTGGATCTCTCCAAAGGAACGTATGCACTGGTTTGAAACATTCAGACTGGCCTGCCAATGATCCATCCTGGGTTTAACCAGGCTGGATTGTACGAGCTCACAGATCTTTGACAGATCCCGACACAGCCCCATCATCGGTAAGCTCCTCCAGCAAGCGAGGATGCGTTGGCTGGGTCGTGTAGCCCGCATGCCCAGCCACCGCATGCCCAAGCAGCTTCCGTTTGACCGGATAGAAGGGGCTAAACGGGCGCGGCACGGCCTAGAGAAGAGATGGAGTTATGTGGTACAGGAGGATATGGAGCTGAGTGGACTTGCCGATGAGTGGTACCAGCGGTGTCAAGATCAACCTCTGTGGAGGAGGCTCGTGAAGGACGCTACTGAGCAGTTGGAGGCAGTCGCCCTCCAGCAACAACGGAGGGCAGAGGAGCGACGCTCACAACAACGAGCGAAGCAGCGAGCGGCTAAAACGCAGCGAGTTGGTACATTGGGGAGCACAGGTGGTGCATCGGTCGGTCATCCCGGTCAGTCAATCCACGATACCTGGGTCTGTCCCGTGACCTACTGCTCGTGAGCTTTTGATACTTCACGTGACCTCAAGGTGCATCTAGCCTGGCACAAGGGTCGTGGTCACGTCACCACAACGGTAGTAGCGAACGGCGGCGGAAGTTGTTGTCGTTGTGCTGACAGAGAGAGAGAGGGAGGCGGTGCGCGTGTGTAGGGCGCGCGTGGCGCTGCTGCGTCTCATCGCTCACAATGCCCCCAACAGCCTCTGCCCTTGACTCATCCTGTAGACAATGGGGTGGGGGGGGCACTATCATAGCCCCCCCCCTCTCTTCCATCAACCCCCCTCGCACTCCTTCCCCGAGCACGCGCTGCGGTAATTGGTCGCGGTAATTGGTCACGCGGCGTGACGTTGACACCACGCGGACTGTGATGAATGCCCCCCCCTGCCCCCCCCCCCTCACCTTGTCATCCAACTTCCTCGCGCTGAAGAACAACTCCACGTAGTTGTTGTTGCCCGAGAGCTCCTCGGCGATTATCTGAGAGTGCGGGGGGCAGGAGGGGGAGGGGGGCAGGAGGGGGAGTGGGCGAGGTGGAGGGGGGCAGAGTGAGTTTGCTAATCAAGTCAATGAGCCGAAGTGTCACGTGGCCTGTGTTGGTGGTGGACGCGCGGAATGGGCGTGGGTCGAGCAGGGCGCGGACATTGACGCCGGGCACCTGGACGAGCGAGGAGAGAGAGGGGCAGAGGTAGAGAAAAAAAGATAGACAGACAGAGGTAGAGAGGGAGGTGGAGAGAGAGTAAGATAGACAGACAGACAGAGGTAGAGAGGGAGGGGTAGAGAGAGTAAGATAGACAGACAGACAGGAGATAGAGAGGGAGGGGTAGAGAGAGTAAGATACAGAGACAGAGAGTGAGATAAAGACCACCGCTCCCCAACTACACTATGTCCTTCCCCGCACCTCCGATTTGCACGGTTGGCTACGTACGGTGCGAAAGAAGTCCAACATACACACAGACACACACACGCACAATCTCCCCGACTCGCCCTCCTCACAGAGCACGCTCTCTGTGCATCACTCGAGAGAGAGAGAGAGAAGCGCCTTAGCGAGCAGCGCGACTCGAGCTGCCTCCGCAGCTCGGGCTCTGGTGGAGGAGTCCGGATCGCGCCCTCGTCGCGGCGCATGAGCGAGCCGCTGATGGTGTGCGCCCGCACAGGGCACAAATTAACTCCACGGAGCAATTAGGAGCTTTGATGAGCGGCTCCGTCTGCGGGATGTGCTCATTAATGAGCAGCCCAGTCGGAAGGAGGTCCGCTACCTGTACCACGGTCACTACCACCACCACCACCACGACCACAACCACCACCACGCTCACCACCACCACGACCACCACCACCACGACCACGACCACCACCACCACGACCACCACCACCACCACGACCACAACCACCACGACTACCACCACCACGACCACCACCACGTTCACCACCACCACGACCACTACCACCACCACGACCACCACCACCACCACGACCACCACCACCACCACCACGACCACCACCACGACCACCACCACCGCCACCACCACCACGACCACCACCACCACGACCACAACCACCACGACCACAACCACCACGACCACCACCACGACCACCACGCTCACTACCACCACCACGACCACCACGCTCACTACCACCACGACCACCACCACGACCACCACCACGACCACCATCACGACCACCACGACCACCACCACGACGAGCACCAGCTGCTTGCATAGGGCACGCGGAGATGGAGCGATGGAATCGGATCGCGAGCAGCGAGGAGGAGCGAGGAGGATTGACTGTTGGTTGCATCACGTGACCGGCGAGGGATGGAGACGGCTCGGGGAGGGCGGCCTTCATCCAGCAGTGGATTGATCATGGATGTTGGCGTCCATAAAGGGGCGGTGTTTGTTGTACAATAAATGTGATGGTCGACTCACTGTGATGGTGGACTCACCGTGATGGTGGACTTGCCCGCGTGCTTGCCATGCTTGAGGACCAGTGGCTTTGTGATCTTCTTGTGCGACACGATCTGTCAGGCAGAGGACGGCGCGAGTCAACCACGCGGAGAGTCGTCCGCTCGAGAGAGTCGATGACGACAGAGAGAGAGGGGGGGGGCCTTGCGAGAGGATGGAGGAGCGAGACTGGTGAAGTATGGAGGTGACGGAATCTTCACGATTGACCCCACCAGCGTCGAGTGGCGTTGGGTGATGTCGGGTGATGTTGGATGATGCGCGATTGGTGATGGGTGATGTGGGAGTGATGGTGGGTGATGTTGAGTGATGGGGGAGTGATGTTGGGTGATGTGGGAGTGATGTTGAGTGATGGGGGAGTGATGTTGGGTGATGTGGGAGTGATGTTGAGTGATGGGTGAGTGATGTTGGGTGATGGGTGAGTGATGTTGGGTGATGGATGAGTGATGTTGGGTGATGTGGGAGTGATGGTGGGTGATGTTGAGTGATGGGGGAGTGATGTTGGGTGATGTGGGAGTGATGTTGAGTGATGGGTGAGTGATGTTGGGTGATGGGTGAGTGATGTTGGGTGATGGATGAGTGATGTTGGGTGATGTGGGAGTGATGTTGGGTGATGGGGGAGTGATGTTGGGTGATGGGGGAGTGATGTTGGGTGATGGGTGATGTTGGGTGATGGGTGGTGATGTTGGGTGATGGGTGGTGATGTTGGGTGATGGGTGGTGATGTTGGGTGATGGATGGTGATGTTGGGTGATGTGAGAGTGATGTTGAGTGATGGGTGAGTGATGTTGGGTGATGGATGAGTGATGTTGAGTGATGTTGAGTGATGGATGAGTGATGTTGAGTGATGTTGAGTGATGTTGGGTGATGTGGGAGTGATGTTGAGTGATGTTGAGTGATGGATGAGTGATGTTGAGTGATGTTGAGTGATGGATGAGTGATGTTGGGTGATGGACCGGGTCCCGTAATGAAGGGCGCGTGCCCCCCCCCCCCCCCCCCGCGACTCAAATCACCGCCGCGCAGCTCCTCGCCCATCAGCGCTCATCAATTATTCACGAGCCCCCGCCCCCCCCCACCCGCCCCCCCCCGCCCCCCCGCCACCCCCCTTTCATTTTGACCCCCCCGCCCTTTCCTCTACCCCTCCCCCCGTTCTTCACACGCCCCGCCCACCCCAGCCCCATCCCTCCCACCTGTTCCCCCTCTCACCGCACCGCGACAAAGATCCCCCGTGTAGCCTTGACAGACTGGTGGGGCAAGGGCTGCTTGCGAGCACTGCGAATGCCGGGACGGCGCACGAGGGGGTGGGGGGCCAGCGCCACGCGCGGCCAACTCTCTGCCTGGCTGCGTGAAGAAGATGGGGCTGGGTGGTGGGGCTGGGTGTTGGGGCTGGGTGGTGGGACTGGGTGATGGGGCTGGGTGATGGGGCTGGGTGGTGGGACTGGGTGATGGGGCTGGGTGATGGGGCTGGGTGGTGGGGCTGGGTGATGGGGCTGGGTGGTGGGGCTGGGTGATGGGCTGGGTGATGGGGCTGGGTGGTGGGGCTGGGTGATGAGGCTGGGTGATGGGGCTGGGTGGTGGGGCTGGGTGATGGGGCTGGGTAGTGGGGCTGGGTGGTGGGGCTGGGTGATGGGCTGGGTGATGGGGCTGGGTGATGGGGTTGGGTGATGGGGCTGGGTTAACGAGGTCACGCGGACTGCGCTCCGAGTCGAGGCCCCAGTGCGGGGGTGGGGCCGCAACTCGCTCCACGAGGAGCACAGGACGTCTCTCTCTGTCTCTGTCTCCCTGTCTCTGTGTCTCTGTGTGTCTCTGTGTCTCTGTCTGTCTCCCTGTCTCTGTGTCTCTGTCTCTCTGTCTCTCTGTGTCTCTCTCTATCTCCCTGTCTCTGTGTCTCTCTCTCTCTGTCTGTCTCTTTGTCTCTGTCTCTCTCTGTCTCTCTGTCTCTTTGTCTCTGTCTCTTTGTCTCTCTCTCTGTCTCTCTGTCTCTGTGTCTCTGTCTCTGTCTGTCTCTGTCTCCCTGTCTCTCTCTCTGTCTCTCTCTGTCTGTCTCCCTGTCTCTGTCTCTGTCTGTCTCTGTGTCTCTGTCTGTCTCTGTTTCCCTGTCTCTCTCTCTCTGTCTCTCTGTCTCTCTGTCTCTCGCTGTCTCTCTGTCTGTCTCTCTGTCTGTCTCTCTGTCTGTCTTTCTGTCTCTCTGTCTCCCTGTCTCTCTGTGTCTCTGTCACCCTGTCTCTCTGTCTCTCTCTGTCTGTCTCTCTATCTCCCTATCTCTGTCTCTCTCTGTCTCTCTGTATCTGTCTCTCTGTCTGTCTCTCTGTCTCTGTCTCTCTGTCTGTCTCTGTGTCTTTCTCTGTCTGTCTCTCTGTCTCGACCCGCGTCAACCAGCGACGAATCTTTGCACCGGTACTTGGCCTCCTCTTAGGTCGACTGAGCCTTAAACGAGTAGCGCGTGCAGTGTTTACACATCACCACTGGGAGAGACAAAGGCGGTCGGGCGGGGATGCCGCCGGGCACCCACCCATTTCTCATGCGCCGTGCAGGCCTTCCATGGGTGCTGTTCGCTGCTAACAGCACTTGTCGCCACAGCCTGCACAGGCTACACGGGGGACCTTTGTCTGTATCTTTGTCTCTGTGCGCGCGCGCGCGCCGCACCTGCCCCAGGGTGCACTCCGCGGCCCCCAGGAAGTCGTCCTCGCGGGGCCCGCAGGGGACGCTGCTGCTGTTGATGTCGAACACCTCGAAGCGGAGCTTCTGCACCTCCTCGAAGTAGTAGTCGATGGTGAAGACCTTGGAGAAGACGGGGTGCAGGTTCCTCTTGATCACCTCCGTGCGCTCCACCTGGGGACGCCGTGGGGACACACGGGGGGGGGGGGACGCGAGCATGCAGTGGGCGCGTGCGAGTGGCGGGAGTCACATGTTTGTACAGGATCCATGTGAACACATGGCGGTGAACAGGACCATCACCAAAACCGCCCTCATCACCATCAGCAGGCATCGCCATCATCATCATCGCCATCATCACCAAACACCGACATCAGCAGCAGCAGCAGACGGGCGCGACTCGGCTCCTTCCACGGCGCGCGCCTCGTGCACGAGACGCGCGTGCGTGCACGAGGCGCGCGCGTGCACGAGACGCGCGCGTGCACGAGGCGCGCGCGTGCACGAGGCGCGCGCGTGCACGAGGCGCGCGCGTGCACGAGGCGCGCGCGTGCACGAGACGCGCGCGTGCACGAGGCGCGCGCCCCCTGATGGCGCGCCCAGCGACGAGGTGCGGAGACGTCCCCAGCGGCGCGGCTCGGGACGTCTCGCGCGGATTGTTGCAGAGACGCGACGCGTGGCGCTGCCGCGTCGCGCGATTGGCCCTGGGCCCTGGGCCCTGGGGCGAGGAATTCATTCGGGGCCCACCCCCCCGTCTCCACCCCTCCCCCCCCCGTGGGTTCCGGCGCAGTTGTACCGCCTGGACACTCCTCTCTTATCTTCGCCACGGAAAGGGAGTTTGATTGTCTTTGATGCGGTGTGAAATTATTTCGGGGAATATCGTGTGCCCCGGCATATGAATTACACGTTAACATGCCCCGGCATTAATATGCCCCGGCATATGAACGTGTAATTTCCACGAGACGCTCAGAAATGCCGAACAGGGATTAGCGCCGCCGCCGCAACCGCCGCCGCAGTCAGAGTGCCCGCCCCGAACGGGGCCGCGTCCCGTTCACGGAGACACCTCGCGGCGAACGCGACTCTGTCCCCGCGGCCCGGGGGACGCGCGCCCCCCCCCCCCCCACGTCCCCCACGTCCCCCCCCCCCCCACGTCCCCCCCCCCCCCCACGTCCCCTCCATTGCGGCTCGCGCCACGTGCAGGGGCGACGCGGGTCGATGTCAGCGTGACGGAGGAGGCCTTCGTCCAGCAGTGGACAGGCCACGGATCGTGATGACGTCGACTTTGGGAGTCGTGGGAGTGGCGAGGCAGTGTGGTGGTAAGCGCACTGCGCTCTGAACCAGGCGCACCCGAGTTCGATTCCCAGCCGCGGTTGACGTCGAGTGAGACCAGAACCGGTCCTGCCCTTCCCCCGTTGACCAACCCGCACTGCCCAGCGTGGTGAAGTCCGGTAAACACAAACAAACACATTCGATATGTTTCGATTTAAAGCTTTCGTGACCGCAGGGATTCATCTTCTTGGTTCTTTCGGTAAAGTCACATAGAAGGGAAAAAATAAAATAATAAAAATAAAACATAATAAAATAATTCTCACGACGTTTCGGCCACAACGCAAACAGCCGTCCTCAGGTGAAGACCAGGTCTGTCGGGGAGACAGCGTCGATATGGCTTAGGGATGCCTTCATTCGGCAGCGGATAGACCATGGCTAAAAATGATGATGATGATGACGACATTATCATCACCGTGGCTGACGTAGGAGGCTGACAGCCGTCGCACACCCGCGCGGTGGCCGCACGGCACTCGCGCCGCGTTTAAACTCGAATCGCGCAAATTAAAAACCGAGCGCCGCGTTCCAAATGAAGACGGCAGTCGTCTCCCCGTCCGTGCTCAGAGTCACAAGCGCGACAATTGGGATCGTTTCATTCATTTATCCAGGAAAGCCTCGCCGGGTCTCCGTGCGCGGCGGCGGGGGGAGGATTCTGCACTGTAGCCACACGTGCTTCTGTCTTGTACCCAGGGCCGTGAATACGAAGCGGTCGCACGTCAACGGGTTAACCAGGCTCCAACCGGCTTAGCTTCGGTGATTGGAATAGACCGGTGGCATTGAGGCTGACGGGCGGGGCAGGGTCGTGGCTGTGATTGCGTCTGGGAGCGCTGTGTCTGCACTTGCCCCGACAGGCTACAAGACTCCCCCCCCCCCACCACCGCCACTCTCCCAACCACATCACCACCAACCCCACCACTACCACCACCACCACCAAGTCCACCACCAACTCCACCACCACCACTCTCCCAACCACACCACTAACAACCCCACCACTACCACTACCACCACCACCAACCCCACCACTACCACCGACTCCACCACCACCACCACCACAGCCACTCTCCCAATCACACCACCACCACCACCGCCGCCGCCGCCGCCGCGGGCACGCGCACGCACCTCCACCCACTGTCCGCGCGACTGCATGAGCAGCATGACGCACGGGTCGGACTTGGAGAGCGCGTCCCGGTCGAGCAGCGCGCGGCACGACACCCGCAGCTCCACCTTGGAGAGGCACGGGCTGGGCGGCACGGCCACGGCCCCGGGCCCGGGCCCGGCCGCGGGGAGCGGTGCCGCCGGGGACTCTCCCGGGGGCGTCGGCGGCGGCGTTGTGGTCGGGGCTCCGCTCTCCGGGCGGCTCATGCTGACGGTGCTGGGCGCCGCTTGCCCGGCCTCCAGCGGGGGCGACGGGGGTACCTGGACATCCGCGCAACTTGGATGATGAGTAAAACCACGTGAAACAGCATGCTATATTATAAACAAGTTTTGCTGGCTGGCTGGCGTCCTGGTTGGCTGGAGGGAGTGATGGTCGGCCACGTCCAAGGGACGTCCGGGCTGCTGGTTACAAGTAATCCGCAGTCGGGAAGCGCGAGGATGGGCTGCGCTCCCGTGCCGGGTTGCGTCCCCGTGTTTATTCTGTGGCCACTGGAGTTGCTCGCCGTGCTGCGGAGCGAGAATATCAACGGTGCGAGTCACAGACCTCTTCGGGCGACCCACTGCTGGATGAAGGCCTCCCCCGCGCCGTCTGGGCCATCCCAGACGCAGTTGGGGACAGTGCTGTTAGCGAGTACCGATTTTGGGTTAAACGGCGCACGAGAGGGTGGTGGTTGTGGTCACCACACCCTGGCCGATTGACAGCTTGTGTCCACGGAACGCTGTCGATGCCTATTTGTGGCTGAGTCGACCTAGAGGAGGTCCAGGTGAGGTTCATGAGCATAAATGTAACACGGGTGACAACATACACAGCAACAAAATACATACGCACACACCTAACACACGATACACTACACACACGATACACTACACACACACACGATATACACACACTATATATACACACACACACCAAAACAGACAGATTAAGATCCCACGTGTAGCCTTCGGCGTACGAGTGGGTGGGCGGCCAACACCACGCCCGGCCGCCTTTGTCTTCCCAGTGGTGATGTTTACACAGCGCAGCAGGGACTCATGTTAAAGGCTGAGTCGATCTACGGGACCCTAGAACTGGTTCGCATAGTCACTGTCACTAGTCTTGCTCGTGAGCGAGACACGAACTTGGGTCGCCGGGTTCGTAGCGCAGTGCGCTAACCACGGCACCACCGCTCCCCATAGCATAGACACGCAGAGCGAACATACGCGCGCACACACAACACATCCATACACATCCAATGCAAAAATGACAACACAATACGATTTGAATTTATATAGCGTCTTGCATCGAAAAACATCCACGCCGAACACACACACACCTCGTGTACACACCCAACACACACACACAATGTATACACACACAATGTATACACAGCGTATACACAATGTATACACAATATATACACAATGTATACGACACGTACCAGACACACACAGACAATGTATACACAATGTATACACAATGTATACGGCACGTACCAGACACAGACACACCTCGTGTACACACAGAATATACACATTCACGGCGTGTATACACCCTGACACACACAGACACACACACAGACACACACACAGACACACACCCTGACACACACAGACACACACACAGACACACACACAGACACACACCCTGACACACACAGACACACACGCCAGATTCACTTGCTACACACAATACTCGCAGATACGCGCTTTGTACAGACAGAATACACGCACACACACAGCCCCTATACACACACACACATACGCACACATACACACACATACACACACACATACACACACACAGCCCGTATACACACACAGCCCGTATACACACACATACACACACCCCATACACACACACACATGCATACACTGACACACACATGCATACACTGACACACACATGCACACACATACACACATACACACACAGACACACACAGACATACACACACACATACACACACTGACACACACGCACACAGAGACGTGTACACACAGACACTTGTACACACATACACACAGACACACAGACACACACACAGACATACACACACACACGCACACCTGACACACAGATTCCATTACCGCCTCACCATCACATCCACTCCCCGTACCAAGACACACACAGATCGCCGTGTCGCCTGCGTCGACCGTGGGAGCGCAGCGCTCGTAGTGAGCACCCGCTCACGTCTGCACTGGGCACAGCTGGGGAGGGTGGCCGTGACCACTCCCGGCCGCCTTTGTCTCCCTAACACCCCTCCCCACACGCACACACATCACACACAAACCACGCACCCTGGCACACTCGAGGCATCTCCCGTGTAGTCGTTAGATGGACTGTCAGGGGCCAAGCGCCGCTCGCGAGCACCTATCAAGGCACACGAGGGGGTGGGTGGCTGGGTGGGTGGGGGGAGTTGGTGGGTGGGTTGGTGGGGGGAGTTCGTGGGGGGAGTTGGTGGGGGGAGTTGGTGGGGGGAGTTGGTGGGTGGGTTGGTGGGGGGAGTTCGTGGGGGGAGTTGGTGGGGGGAGTTGGTGGGGGGAGTTGGTGGGTGGGTTGGTGGGGGGAGTTGGTGGGGGGAGTTGGTGGGTGGGTTGGTGGGGGGAGTTGGTGGGGTGGGTGGGTGGCGGGGTTGGTGGGGGGAGTTGGTGGGTGGGTTGGTGGGGGGAGTTGGTGGCGGGGTTGGTGGGGGGAGTTGGTGGCGGGGTTGGTGGGGGGATTTGGTGGGGGGAGTTGGTGGGTGGGTTGGTGGGGGGAGTTGGTGGGTGGGTGGGGGGAGTTGGTGGGTGGGTGGGGGGAGTTGGTAGGGGGAGTTGGTAGGGGGGAGTTGGTGGGGGGAGTTGGTGGGTGGGTGGGTGGGGGGAGTTGGTGGGTGGTGTGGGGGGAGTTGGTGGGGGGAGTTGGTGGGGGGAGTTGGTGGGGGGAGTTGGTGGGTGGGTTGGTGGGGGGAGTTGGTGGGGGCTCCCTCCTCTCCCCGGCGCGTTGTCGCCGCGAGGCGCTCTCCACGAGCTCGCGGCTGTTGACGCGCCTCTAGTGAACGCTTCATTGCGGGGGTCTCTTAGCGGAGGCAAAAGGCTTAAACCGCCCCCCTCCCCTCCCACCGCGGATATCCGCTCATGATTAACACCACCAACAAGAACAACAACAACATCATCATCAGCAGCAGCGGCAGCAGCAGCGGCAGCAGCAGCAGCAGCGAGCGTGTGACACCGTGTGCCCGTAGCGGGGGCGATATTAATTAGGGGAGCGCTCGGCGATTCGCCAGCTCGTGTCAGCGCAGTCGTAATTGGTGCGAAAACCACTTTTACTATTTGGTGGAGGAGGGGGGGCTGTTGTTGCGTTAATGACCCGGATGACACGGGGGGGGGGGGCAATGATGCGAATTCCATTGCAGAGGACGCATCAATTCTAGCGCTGCGTGCTGCACACACCCGCGTGCGTGAGTGTTGTGTGTGCTATGTGTGTTGTGTGTGTGTGTTGTGTGTGTGTTGTGTAAGTGTTGTGTGACTGTTGTGGGTGAGTGTTGTGTATTGTGTGTTGTTGTGTGTTCTGTGTGTGTTGTTGTTTGTGAGTGTTGTGTGTGAGTGTTGTTGTGTATTGTGTGTGTTGTTGTGTGTGAGTGTTGTGTGTGCTGTGTGTATGAGTTGTGTGTGAGTGTTGTGTATTGTGTGTGTGTTGTTGTGTGAGTGTTGTTGTGTGAGTGTTGTTGTGTGTGAGTGTTGTTGGTGTGTGTGTGTTGTTGTGTGTGTGAGTTGTGTGTGTGTGCGTTGTGTGTGGCTCGCGCGACAAAGACAAAGACCTCCCAGGTAGACGCGGCAGGCTGTCGGGGCAAGTGCACTCGGCGACCACCTGTTGAGGTGGTCGGAACGACGCATCGAGCGCGTGGTGTTGTGATCACAATCACAATCATCACAATCATCATCACGGTGGATGATGGTGTTGTGATCACAATCACAATCATCATCACGGTGGATGGTGGTGGTGTGATCACAATCACAATCATCATCATCACGGTGGATGGTGGTGGTGTGATCACAATCATCATCATCACGGTGGATGGTGGTGGTGTGATCACAATCACAATCATCATCATCATCACGGTGGATGGTGGTGGTGTGATCACAATCACAATCATCATCATCATCACGGTGGATGGTGGTGGTGTGATCACAATCACAATCATCATCACGGTGGATGGTGGTGGTGTGATCACAATCACAATCATCATCACGGTGGATGATGGTGGTGTGATCACAATCACAATCATCATCACGGTGAATGGTGGTGGTGTGATCACAATCATCATCATCATCATGGTGGATGGTGGTGGTGTGATCACAATCATCATCATCATCACGGTGAATGGTGGTGGTGACATCACAATCACAATCATCATCACGGTGAATGGTGGTGGTCTGATCACAATCATCATCATCATCACGGTGAATGGTGGTGGTGTGATCACAATCATCATCATCATCACGGTGGATGGTGGTGGTGTGATCACAATCATCATCATCATCACGGTGGATGGTGGTGGTGTCATCACAATCATCATCATCATCACGGGGGATGGTGGTGGTGTCATCACAATCATCATCATCATCACGGTGGATGGTGGTGTTGTGATCACAATCATCATCATCATCACGGTGAATGGTGGTGGTCTGATCACAATCATCATCATCATCACGGTGGATGGTGGTGGTGTCATCACAATCACCATCATTATCACAAAGTCTCTCCCCCCGATCTGCTCGCGAGCAGCAGCAGCACCACCTGTGAAGGGCGGCACGGCGCACGAGACGTCTTGTCCACACACTCACAGGGCACCAGGTGACACGCTGAGGCCGAGCCGACCTAGAGGAGGCACGTGGCCGATTCAAGCGTTCGTGAATGCCGTGAGCGCGACTGAATCTGGTGTCACAACGTTCGCAGCGCATTCCGGCTTCCCACGCACGAACACAGGCAAAGCTGCCCCGTACGGTCAGACAGAATGTTGGGGCAAGGGCTGTGAGTGAGCAAATACAAAGGCCGACACCGGCACACCACGTGGCCCTCTTCGTCTTCCTGCTGTGTTGTCGTCATTTAACGCCGAGTCGACCTAGGGGAATCCCGGCAGAGGTTTGGTATCGACCCTAGGTTGCCTGGTTCGTAACGCAGCACGACATTTACAAAGACAAAGATCCCCCGTGTAGCCTTTAACAGCCTGTTCGAGCAAGTGCTGTTTGCGAACACCTATGAAGGCCAGCACGGCACACGAGGGGGTGGGTGGACAGCGCCACGCGCGGCCGCCTTTGTCTCCCCAGTGGCGATGTTTACCCACCGCACCGGATACTCGTCGACCTAGGAGAGGCCCAGAACCGGTTCAGATAATCGTCACCGGTGTCGGCCGTGAGCGGGAATCGAACTCGGGTGGAAGGGGTTCGTAGGGCAGAGCGCTAGCCGCTACACTACCGCTCCCCACGCTACAAATACACACACACAGCAAGCACACACACACGCACACGTGTACATACAGACAACAACAACAACAGCGCCGTTCGCGACTAATTGACGGTGATGTCACCACAGCGCTTGTGCCAGGCTAGGTGCATCTTGAGGTCACGTGAAGTGTCGAAGGCCACAAACCTTTACACACACACTTGTACGGCAGTAACACAAAGACACAAACACACACAAACACATGTAGACACACAAAGACATATAGACGGTTGTCAAGCACCACGCCCAGCCGTCTTTGTTTCCCCAGCGCTGACATTTTCACACCGCAGCGGGAACTGTAAAATTTCAGGCTGAGTCAACGTAAACTGAATAGGTCAGAGGACCGGTTCAGATTCCACTCGCCACTTCTGTGTCCGCCGTGATCGGGGATCGAACTCAGGCGCGCGGTGCCCACCGCCCACTGCGCCTCTCGGCCTCTCGGCAGCCCCAGCCGCTCGCGATCAGCCAGAGCCATCGCGAGCCGCTCCCACGAGCCGGGCCGCTCCCATATACCGCTCCCATATACCGGCCCCATATACCGGCCCCATATACCGGTCCCATATACCGGCCCCATATACCGGTCCCATATACCGGTCTCATATACCGCTCCCATATACCGGCCCCATATACCGGCCCCATGAGCCGGTCCCATGACCCGGTCCCATGAGCCGGTCCCATGAGCCGGTCCCATGAGCCGGTCCCATGAGCCGCTCCCATATAGCGGTCCCCCGTATACAGTACCGGTCCCGTGAAGCCGGTCCAATAATATCCGGTCCCATGAGCCAGGCTAATAATAATAATAAAATCCCATCGTCATCAAGCCGAGTCTCAGTCAACGCCGCTCGCAAGCGGCTCAGGGAACGGGTCTCGCTCCGTGCCCGTGCGCTCCACACAGGCGAGTTCACCATGACAAAGACGAGCTCATCATCTCACAGGTGAGTTCACCATCACTCAGGTGAGGTCACCATCATACAGGTGAGTTCACCATCAGAAAGACGAGTTCACCATTACTCAGGTGAGTTCACCATGACAAAGACGAGCTCATCATCTCACAGGTGAGTTCACCATCACTCAGGTGAGGTCACCATCATACAGGTGAGTTCACCATCACAAAGACGAGTTCACCATCACAAAGACGAGTTCACCATCACTCAGGTGAGCGCCGTTCACCTGTCCCCTACACCCCCCCCCCCCCCGCTTACCTGCGCTGGATGCGGACGAGGAGCGTGGAGCCTGGAGAAGCCGCCCCGACTCAGCCACGCGCAGGAGGAGCGGCCCACACCTCACCACCACTCCCCACCACCACTACTCCTCACCACTACTCCTCACCACCACTCCTCACCACCTCACCACTACTCTTCACCACTACTCCTCACCACTACTCACCACTACTCACCACCACACCACTACTCCTCACCACTACTCACCACTACTCACCACTACTCACCACCACACCACCTCACCACTACTCCTCACCACCACTCCTCACCACCTCACCACTACTCACCACCACACCACCTCACCACTACTCCTCACCACTACTCACCACTACTCTTAACCACCACTCCTCACCACTACTCCTCACCACTACTCACCACCACACCACCTCACCACACCACCTCACCACTACTCCTCACCACTACTCCTCACCACTACTCCTCACCGGAGGATGGCGGGGGGAAGGAAGCGGCAGGTGATGGTGATGATGATGTTGTTGTTGACAAGGCGGAGGGTCGTGATGGTGATGATGGTGAAACGACGATCCAAGACGCTGCGCTCCCTCCTCGTGCCGGACTACCACCTCCTCGTGCCCCTCGCTCGGGAGGGAGTGGGACAGGTGACGGTGACGAATGGGGATGGATGATGAGGTGCAGAGTGCTCCACGCGACTCTTGCTTCGCTCCGGCGCCCGTCTAGCCAGGAGAGGAGGGGGTGGAACTGGTAACGATGATGACGATGACGACGACGTCGATTGCGAAGACGCTGACGGTGAGACTGATGATGTGAGTTGTGTTGATGATGAGATTGATGGTGTGAGTGACAATGATCAAGGTAGTGATTACGCTAATGTGATTTATGATAATTACGACGACGATGATGATGACGACAACGCTGTTGGTGTCGATGATGTTTTGGACGACGACGATGCCGATGGGGACGATGGTGATGATGATGAATGTGGATGGCGAGGGCCGCTCTCCTCGCGACTCGTGACTCTCCACTCGCTCCACTCGCGACTCTCCACTCGCTCCACTGGCAGCGCAGCGCGCAGCGAGCCCCGTGACGCGCATGGACCTCCCACGCTGCTCACGTGCGCGTGGGGGCGGGAGGGGCGGGAGAGGGGGGGGCAACAATAAGGAGGAGGAGAGGGGGGTGACCCCCCCTAAGAGCAGCGGTGGAGAGAAGGTAGGAGAGGTGGGTAGGGGAGGGGCTGTTGCTCCCCACCAATCGGCACTAATTGCCCAGCCTGGGGGAGGGGGGAGCGGTGGTGGAGCCGTTAGCGCGCTGCGCTACGAACCCGGCGACCTGAGTTCGATTCCCACCAGTGACGATTATCCGACCCGGTTCTGGGTCTTTAACCGGATACCTGGTGCGGTGTGTAAACATCGCCACTGGGGAGACAAAGGCGGCCGGGCGTGGTGCTGGCCACCCATCTTCTCGTGCGCCGTGCCGGCATTCGCAGGTGCTCGCTAACGGCACTTGCCCCAACAGCCTGTGAAGGCTACACGGGGGATCTTTGTATAGGAGTAGGAGCATTGGTAACGCCAAGGATATTTAAAAACGCGTCGTCAATTATTTTTTTGTAATTTCTATTTGTGTTTGTAGGATTGGTAATAATAAATATATTATTATTGTTTAATACGATGCAATGCCTCGTCTCGCACTGTATCGAGGCGATCTCTTGACAGCGGCGCGTTGATGACGGAGATGTTGATGATGATGTTGATGATTTTGATGATGTTGATGACGATGATGTTGACGATGATGATGATGATGTTGATGATGATGTTGATGACGATGATGTTGATGATGTTGATGATGACGATGACGTTGATGATGAGGATGACGATGATTTTGATGATGTTGATGACGATCTTGATGATGTTGGTTATGAGGATGACGATGATGTTTTTGACGTTGATGATGATGATGTTGGTGATGTTGATTATTTTGATGATCTTAATGACGTTGATGATGTTGATGATGATGTTTATTATGTTAATGACGATGATGATGATGACGTTGATGATGACGATGCTGATGACGTTGATGATGTTGATGACGACGATGATGTCGATGACGCGATCTCGGCCTCGTGAAGAGGCGACCACGCGGCGTGGAGGGGCTGCGGATAGCGGGGGGGGGGGGGGCGACGGTCCGGGCGCGGGCCCCGTGCTGTGTGGATGCAACCAAAGACAAAGGTCCCCCGTGTAACCTGCACAGACTGTTGGGGAAAGTGCCGTTGGCGAGCACCTGTAAAGGCGCGCACTGCACAAGAGCGGGAGGGGTGGCCGAGCAAACCGATCGTGGAGGCCACTGATATTGATGGCTGGACGGGAATCGAACTCGGGTCGCCGGGTTCGTAGCGCAGCGCGCTAATCAATCACTGCGCCACCACTCCACAACGACCCAGCAGCCACCACTCCACCACCACTCCACCACTCCACCACTCCCCCACTTCACCACCACTCCACCACTCCCCCACTTCACCACCACTCTCCCACTCCACCACCACTCCACCACTCCACCACCACTCCTCCACCACTCCACCACCCCACCACCACTCCCCCACTTCTCCACCACTCCACCACTCCACCACCACTCCACCACCACTCCACCACTCCACCACTCCACCACCACTCCTCCACCCCACCATCACTCCACCACTCCACCACTCAACCAATCCACCACCATTCCACCACCACTCCACCACTCCACCACCACTCCACCACCACCATTCCACCACCACTCCACCACTCAACCACTCCACCACCACTCCACCACTCCACCACTCCTCCACCACTCTACCACCACTCCACCGCCTCACCACCACTCCACCACCACTCCACCACCCCACCATCACTCCACCACTCCACCACTCAACCACTCCACCACCATTCCACCACCACTCCACCACTCCACCACCACTCCACCACCACTCCACCACCACCACTCCACCATCACTCCACCACTCCACCACTACTCCACCACTCAACCACTCCACCACCGCTCCACCACTCAACCATCCCACCACCACTCCACCACTCCACCACCACCCCACCACCACCACTCCACCACCCCACCACCACTCCACCACCACTCCACCACCACCACTCCACCACCCCACCACCCCACCACCACTCCACCACCCCACCACCACTCCACCACTCCACCACCACACCACTACTCCACCACCACCACTCCACCACCACTCCACCACACCACGTGATTGACGTGGTCTTATTTTGTGTTCATGAAACAAACGCGCTCATCGCGCGCGTCCTCGATCAGGGGGCGCGTGCCAGGCGCTGTGCACCTTGAGGCCGCGTCAAGCGAGGAAAGCGCCCTCCAGGTAGAGCTCAGAGGTTACGGGACAGAGCCACGCGTTCTTGGTTGACTGCTGTGCCAGGCTAGGTGCAGGAGGTCACGGGACAGACCCAGGTGCCAGGGGGTGACTGACAGATGCGCCACCTGCGCTCCCTACTGTGCCACCTCGCTGCGTTTTAGCCGCCCGGCGCTCCGCTCGTTGTTGTGAGCGCCGCTCGCACTCAGTCGGACAGCGCGACGCCCGTGGACCCAGCTCGGAACGCAGAGGCGCATTCGCGTCAATGAAACACCCCACACACATCCACGCAGCGGTCAGATCTCAACAACAATAACAACACAGATACAACCACAACTACACAGAGAGCATCACAACAACAAAAACAAGGATCACGCTTGCAAGTAGAGCCTAAGCAGACTGCTGGGGCAAGTGCTGTGAGCGAGCACCTATGACGGCCAGAACGGTACACCAGGCGGTGGGTGGCGAGCACCACGCCCGACCGCCTTTGTCTCCCCAGTGGCGATGTTTACACACCGCATCGGGTACTTATTTGAGGCTCAGTCGATCTTGGGGAGGCCCATAACCGGTTCAGATAATCGTCACCGGTGTTGGCCGTGAGCGGGAATCGAACTCGGGTAGAAATGATTCATAGCGCAGCGTTAAACTAACCGCTACACTACCGCTCCCCACTCCACACACAGACAGACACACAGACACACACACAGACACACACAGACACACACACTGACACACACACTGACACACACACTGACACACACAGACACACACAGACACACACTGATACACACAGACAGACATAGACACACACAGACAGACACACACTGACACACACACAGAAACACACACTGACACACACAGACACACACTGACACACACAGACACACACACAGACAGCATCACAGCCGCGTCAGTCACCACACACACTGCAGGGGCACGGAGGGCAACGCGACTCCACGCATCCAGTCCGACCAGGGACGAGGTGTCGCAGCTCTCAACGAGGTGACGAGTCAACGCGACGAGCATCATGAGACGAGGTGACCACGTGGAGCCGAGACGGCGATGAGACGAGGTGACGAGGTGATGGAGTGACGAGGTGACGATGAGAGTGCATCCTCCCTCCTCTCTGTTCTCGGGAACTCGACTCCGCGCGGCATTGATCCCCGCCCAGCCGCGCGCGGTCGAAGCGGGAGGCGGGGGGGAGGGGGGGAGGGGGGGAAGGGGGGGGGCGATCTCCCCGAATTCAGAGAAAATCCAAATCCCTCTCGTCTCCTCTCTCCTCTCCTCACCCCCCTCACACCGCCTCCTCGCCACGAACTCTCCACGAACTCTCCTCCCGCTGCCCTCTCTCGCCTCTCCCTGAACTCTCTCCCTGCGCCCCCTCTCCACCTCCCTCTCCCCCCCGCGGCCACGCCGTCGCGGGTGGCACGACGGGGGCGATGGCGCCCTTCCTGGCGCACGCCGCTCGGCTGCTCTTCGTGGCGACTTCCCCGCGCTCCACGCAATGGGGGCGGGGGGGGAGAGGAAGGGGGGCACCCAGGACAGGCTGGGCCAGACATCACTCGCCACCGATGTCAGCTGTGGCCGGAAATCGAACTCGGGTCGCCGAGTCCGCGGCAGAATCTCAGTGGAGTCTTCTCGACGGAGCGAGGCGCATTCCTCCTCGTCCCCTGCGAGATTGAGAACCCCTCCCCCACCCAGAACTGCCATAAAACACACGCGTGTGTGAGTGTGTCTGTGTCAGTGTGTGTGTGTCAGTGTGTGTCGGTGTGTGGTGGGGAGCGGTAGTGTAGTGGTTAGCGCGCTGCGCTATGAACCTGGCCACCCGGGTTCGACTCCCACTCACGGCCAACACCAGTGACGATTATCTGAACCGGTCCCGGGCCTCCCTAGGTCGACTCAGCCTCAAGTGAGTACCTGGTGCGATGTGTAAACGTCGCCACTAGGGAGACAAAGGCGGCCGGGCGTGGTGTTGGCCACCCACCCCCTCGTGTGCCGTGCCGGCCTTCATAGGTGCTCACTAACGGCATTTGCCCCAACAGTCTGTTGAGGCTACACGTGGAGGAAGCTTGTGAAGGACGCTACTGGGTAGTTGGAGGCAGTCGCCCTCCCACAACAACGGAGGGCGGAGGAGCGACGCTCACAACAACGAGCGGAGCGCCGGGCGGATAAAGCACAGCAAGTTGGCACAGTAGGGGGCACAGGTGGTGCATCAGCCACTCATCTTAGTCAGTCGACCCGTGGCACCTGCTGGGTCTGTCCCGTGACCTCCTGCCGGCGGGCGTTCGACACTTCATGTGGCCTCAACGTGCACATAGCCTGGCACAAGCGTCGTGGTGACGTCACCACCACTTAGTGGCGAATGGCGGTTGTTGTTGTTGGGTCAGTGTGTGCGTGTCAGTGTCTAGAACATCGATCATCGCAAACTGAGGAGGCTTAACGCAGCCTTCGCTTGGAGCTTCGGAGAGCCACGCACTGCTGTAAGGATAAGGATGCGTGGTAGGCACGGGTTCCTGAGGAGATGGAATCTGCCTCAGTAGCCCGCAATCACAAATCACTATTTAATTCCATCTCCGACCCCCAGGAACAGGTCTGCACAGCATTCCGGTGAGGTCTTAGGGGATGAGAATTCCCTCAGCCCAAACAACATCGTGGGCCAAGATGGG